AACACTACTGCACCTCCAATACTACTGCACCTCCAACACTACTGCACCTCCAATACTACTGCACCTCCAATACTACTGCACCTCCAATACTACTGCACCTCCAATACTACTGCACCTCCAATACTACTGCACCTCCAATACTACTGCACCTCCAATACTACTGCACCTCCAATACTACTGCACCTCCAATACTACTGCACCTCCAATACTACTGCACCTCCAATACTACTGCACCTCCAATACTACTGCACCTCCAATACTACTGCACCTCCAATACTACTGCACCTCCAATACTACTGCACCTCCAATACTACTGCACCTCCAATACTACTGCACCTCCAATACTACTGCACCTCCAACACTACTGCACCTCCAACACTACTGCACCTCCAATACTACTGCACCTCCAATACTACTGCACCTCCAATACTACTGCACCTCCAATACTACTGCACCTCCAATACTACTGCACCTCCAATACTACTGCACCTCCAATACTACTGCACCTCCAATACTACTGCACCTCCATACTACTGCACTCCAATACTACTGCACCTCCAATACTACTGCACCTCCAATACTACTGCACCTCCAACTACTACTGCACCTCCAACACTACTGCACCTCCAATACTACTGCACCTCCAATACTACTGCACCTCCAATACTACTGCACCTCCAATACTACTGCACCTCCAATACTACTGCACCTCCAATACTACTGCACCTCCAATACTACTGCACCTCCAACACTACTGCACCTCCAACACTACTGCACCTCCAACACTACTGCACCTCCAACACTACTGCACCTCCAATACTACTGCACCTCCAATACTACTGCACCTCCAATACTACTGCACCTCCAATACTACTGCACCTCCAATACTACTGCACCTCCAATACTACTGCACCTCCAATACTACTGCACCTCCAATACTACTGCACCTCCAATACTACTGCACCTCCAATACTACTGCACCTCCAATACTACTGCACCTCCAATACTACTGCACCTCCAATACTACTGCACCTCCAATACTACTGCACCTCCAATACTACTGCACCTCCAATACTACTGCACCTCCAATACTACTGCACCTCCAATACTACTGCACCTCCAATACTACTGCACCTCCAATACTACTGCACCTCCAATACTACTGCACCTCCAATACTACTGCACCTCCAATACTACTGCACCTCCAATACTACTGCACCTCCAATACTACTGCACCTCCAATACTACTGCACCTCCAATACTACTGCACCTCCAATACTACTGCACCTCCAATACTACTGCACCTCCAATACTACTGCACCTCCAATACTACTGCACCTCCAATACTACTGCACCTCCAATACTACTGCACCTCCAATACTACTGCACCTCCAATACTACTGCACCTCCAATACTACTGCACCTCCAATACTACTGCACCTCCAATACTACTGCACCTCCAATACTACTGCACCTCCAATACTACTGCACCTCCAATACTACTGCACCTCCAATACTACTGCACCTCCAATACTACTGCACCTCCAACTACTACTGCACCTCCAATACTACTGCACCTCCAATACTACTGCACCTCCAATACTACTGCACCTCCAATACTACTGCACCTCCAATACTACTGCACCTCCAATACTACTGCACCTCCATACTACTGCACCTCCAACACTACTGCACCTCAAACACTACTGCACCTCCAACACTACTGCACCTCCAATACTACTGCACCTCCAATACTACTGCACCTCCAATACTACTGCACCTCCAATACTACTGCACCTCCAATACTACTGCACCTCCAATACTACTGCACCTCCAATACTACTGCACCTCCAATACTACTGCACCTCCAATACTACTGCACCTCCAATACTACTGCACCTCCAATACTACTGCACCTCCAATACTACTGCACCTCCAATACTACTGCACCTCCAATACTACTGCACCTCCAATACTACTGCACCTCAATACTACTGCACCTCCAATACTACTGCACCTCCAATACTACTGCACCTCCAATACTACTGCACCTCCAATACTACTGCACCTCCAATACTACTGCACCTCCAATACTACTGCACCTCCAATACTACTGCACCTCCAATACTACTGCACCTCCAATACTACTGCACCTCCAATACTACTGCACCTCCAATACTACTGCACCTCCAATACTACTGCACCTCCAATACCTACTGCACCTCCAATACTACTGCACCTCCAATACTACTGCACCTCCAATACTACTGCACCTCCAACACTACTGCACCTCCAATACTACTGCACCTCCAATACTACTGCACCTCCAATACTACTGCACCTCCAATACTACTGCACCTCCAATACTACTGCACCTCCAATACTACTGCACCTCCAATACTACTGCACCTCCAATACTACTGCACCTCCAATACTACTGCACCTCCAATACTACTGCACCTCCAATACTACTGCACCTCCAATACTACTGCACCTCCAATACTACTGCACCTCCAATACTACTGCACCTCCAATACTACTGCACCTCCAATACTACTGCACCTCCAATACTACTGCACCTCCAATACTACTGCACCTCCAATACTACTGCACCTCCAATACTACTGCACCTCCAATACTACTGCACCTCCAATACTACTGCACCTCCAATACTACTGCACCTCCAATACTACTGCACCTCCAATACTACTGCACCTCCAATACTACTGCACCTCCAATACTACTGCACCTCCAATACTACTGCACCTCCAATACTACTGCACCTCCAATACTACTGCACCTCCAATACTACTGCACCTCCAATACTACTGCACCTCCAATACTACTGCACCTCCAATACTACTGCACCTCCAATACTACTGCACCTCCAATACTACTGCACCTCCAATACTACTGCACCTCCAATACTACTGCACCTCCAATACTACTGCACCTCCAATACTACTGCACCTCCAATACTACTGCACCTCCAATACTACTGCACCTCCAATACTACTGCACCTCCAATACTACTGCACCTCCAATACTACTGCACCTCCAATACTACTGCACCTCCAATACTACTGCACCTCCAATACTACTGCACCTCCAATACTACTGCACCTCCAATACTACTGCACCTCCAATACTACTGCACCTCCAATACTACTGCACCTCCAACACTACTGCACCTCCAATACTACTGCACCTCCAATACTACTGCACCTCCAATACTACTGCACCTCCAATACTACTGCACCTCCAATACTACTGCACCTCCAATACTACTGCACCTCCAATACTACTGCACCTCCAATACTACTGCACCTCCAATACTACTGCACCTCCAATACTACTGCACCTCCAATACTACTGCACCTCCAATACTACTGCACCTCCAATACTACTGCACCTCCAATACTACTGCACCTCCAATACTACTGCACCTCCAATACTACTGCACCTCCAATACTACTGCACCTCCAATACTACTGCACCTCCAATACTACTGCACCTCCAATACTACTGCACCTCCAATACTACTGCACCTCCAATACTACTGCACCTCCAATACTACTGCACCTCCATTACTACTGCACCTCCAATACTACTGCACCTCCAATACTACTGCACCTCCAATACTACTGCACCTCCAATACTACTGCACCTCCAATACTACTGCACCTCCAATACTACTGCACCTCCATTACTACTGCACCTCCATTACTACTGCACCTCCAATACTACTGCACCTCCAATACTACTGCACCTCCATCACTACTGCACCCTGCACCCTGCTCGCCAGTCGGGCTGACTGCCCCACTGTCACATGTTGTACCATACCCCACCAATCCCATCCCACTCACCTTGAGGTACGAAGGGCTGAACGCAGGGCTGATCATTTTGCGCTGCCGCGCCCAGAAGGCCCCATCGGAGAACACTAGCCCGTTCGCCAGGAAGCTCACCACGCGCCTGGCGTTCTGATTCTTCTGAAAGGACGAGCTCTTCGCAATAAGTATCTGAGGGCATAGGGAGGGGGGCAAGGAGGAGAAGGGAGAGAGAGGGGGGGATGTCAGGAGGGGAAACAGGAAGCTCCCCACGCGCCTGGCGTTCTGATTCTTCTGAAAGGACGAGCTCTTCGCGATTAAGACCTGAGAGGGTGCAGAGTGGTGTGTGTGTGGGGGGGGCAGGGAGGCGGGGGGGGGGGGGTGGTGGGGTGGGGGGGTGGAGAAGGATTAACTGGAAGCTCACCATCCGCCTGGCGTTCTGATTCTTCTGGAAGGACCTGAAATAATCACGTGAAATGAGTGAGTTTTCGAGACGTCTCAAAAAGGCCACTCATTTTACCTGAAAGGAAGAGTTTTTTCGCAATTGAGACCTGAAAGAATTGATTGGGAGAAAGAGAGAGGTGGAGATATTGCCTTACCTTGTGTATACGATGGGCCGTTCGAGAGGTGGAGGCAGGAAGCTCACAATGCGCCTGGCGTTCTCATGTAACGACAAACGTATGGAGGAAAGTTTATGGAGGTGTTTCTTTTTCCACGCCACGTGCCTGGTGAAAGAGATCAGGCTCGGCAACGACAAGCGGCTGGAAGAGGCCAAAGACCGTCCCTAGTTGACACCGCCACTTCCACAGCAGCCTGCCCTCTAACCAACCACACCTCCCAGGAACCATACCCCATGCCAGGGAATGAACAACTGATGGCACTAACCACTGTCCCCATCACGTGCCTGGTGAAAGAGATCAGGCTCGGCAACGACGAGTGGCTGGAAGGGGCCGATGGAGAGGCCAAAGAGCGTCCCCCTCAGCTGGCAACGCCATTTGCACACAGGGAATGGACAACTGATGGCACAAACCACTGCTTGCATTGCACCACGTGCCTGGTGAAAGAGATCAGGCTCGGCAACGACGAGTGGCTGGAAGGGGCCGATGGAGAGGCCGAATACCGTTCCCAGCTGGCAACGCCACTTCCACAGCAGCGGGCTGATGGTTGCCGGACCTAGCGGCGCAGGCTCGGACGCAGGTATGGGCTTCGGTTCGCGATTGGCGAATTCCGGAAGCTGCCCAATGAGAGGCCTGGGAGGAAGGGGGAATGGGGAGGGAGGGGTTGGTGGGTAAGAAGAGACAGGAAAGAGGGAGGAAGGGGGAAAACGGGGTGACTTTTGAGTTGACTCAAAATGCACCTCGGTTGGCGAATTCTGGAAGCTGCCCAATGGGAGGCCTGGGAGGAATGGGGGAGGGAGAGGAGAGGAGGGGGAGGAAGGGAGAGGAAGGGAGAGGAAGGAAGAGGAAGAAAGACGAAGGGAGATGACAAGAAGGGAGGCCAAGGGAGATGAAGGGATAGGAAAGAGAAGACGGGCGAGGAAGGGAGACGAATGGAGAAACCGGGCAGCGGAATAAATCAGGGGAGCGCATTTCTTCGTGCTGCGGACGTCTTTGAGATTTCCAAACAGTACCTGAACGGGAGGAGGGGGATGCCTTGCTTCATGCAATGCCGACGAAAGCGCAGCGGCTTGATGAGAATGATGTAGACGCAGTAGCACAACAGCGCGGCCAATGCGGCGAGAAACACGGCGGAAGTGAAGCTAAATATCTCATTCCTTATAGCCACGGCATAAATGGACGCAGTATTAGGAATAACAGTACTGCCTTCGAACGGCAGGAGAGGAGGAGCCGGCGCTACGAGCGGTTCGGCGACCATCCTGTGCAACGCGTGAGAATGCGACAAGCGGCTTCGCGACAGTCGCGAGCGAGGCGACGAGGGAGCGACCGAAGAGGTTGAGCGACGCAGCTAGCGCTCGAGCGTAAGGTAAGGGCTCAGCTGTTAGGTTGCTACAACCGGCGACTCGGGAAACGGCGTTATTCCCAAGAATTCGAATTCCAGGAGAGGAAGGAGAGGGATTTGAGGGGTAGTGCACAAGTGCAGTGGTGGTGTTTTCTTGTCTTTGGGTCAGCTTCGGTTTCACCATAAAGTGAGGACGCGGTTAAAGTAGACGATCGATCATCAGTTGCGATCGGCTCGCAGATCAGTTACACTGATTACGACTGTGTAACTATGCTACAGTAAGTTTTTTGTCCAATTTTTGTGCACAGCAAGTGAATGCGACTGATCACTGATCGCTGTAGAACTTTCCGCAGCATCAATGCGCAGATGACGTGCACGAACCGATCACAACAGGCACGATTGATGCGGATGCCTGCGAAGTGCTGAAATTTCGCATAGCGACAACATAGACGCGCATAATTCTGGAATTTCGCGGAATTTCAAGCTGGTTGCCCTGTTGGTTGCGAATGTCTCAGGTGTAGTTGGGCGAAGGGGGTTTTTCTTAGACGGTGTCGCAGGCTAAACCGAAATCTTGATTCTGTAACATCCAACCCATCACGCAGGGGCGATCGTTACAACCGCGTGGGCGCATCGTTTCGCCAAACAATCGGCCCAATCGATTCTGCGGGTCGATATACACGCGCGATCCTGCGATATTCTCACTTTCACCGCGTCCTGAAGCTGCTGTGCAACGAGCTTGTGCAAAGGTGTCTGCGAATGCGTGCGATGAGGGAGACTGCTTTCCCTCTCACGGCAGCGCGGCAAGAGCGAGGGAAATGTTTTTGGGACTTGCTGCGCAGCATGTGTACTCGACAAGAGATATCTGATGACACTATATTGTACTGACCACGGGAAAGCGGCGAACCAATTAGATGTATACAGTAACCAGCTGAATTAGTTAATGAGATCAATCCATCATGGCCTTAGATGTATGGCAACTAACTGGTTGTGGAAGTAAGTCAACGAGACTACCCTTCTCATGGCTGGAATGACAACCATTCATATGAAAGTAGATATAAGAATGGGGTAAACAAAGCTTGAGCACTTCATTTTAGCTTGGATGTGTAGTACACGTTTTCAAGTTCATGCAATAATGAGGCAGCCTTTTCCCCAACGCATGAAACCACCTCATTGGCCGCACTAGCCTCTTCCTTGAAATCTTCTTTGTGCCTTTCCACACTAGTATTCAATGCAGACATATCCGCAAACACAACTGTCTGCTTCAACTGTGCCACTAGCTTTAGAAGAGACTCCGCCGCTCCCACCTGCCACACAAAACAGCAACGGGAAGGGATGTGAAACCTTCACATTCATTGCGGACATCTATGCAAGCAGAAAACCTGCTGTGCCACTAGCTGTAACTCTGCCACCCCGCCTGTCAGCAGGAACAATGCGATAAAGGGAGATAAAAATGTCAGAGCTTTCTATGAATGAGGGAAGCTAAACTTTTACTGCAACGATGGAAAAATAATGAGATGGAAGAAAGAATTCCATTTTAAAAACGAAAGAAATTATAAGTGTCTAATACATAAGTACCCACATCAGCATGCCCTTGATCACGACCATCATGCAATCCATCACCATCATCACCATCACCATCACCATCATCACCCATCAACCTCATAATCACCACCACCACCCATCACCATCACCAGCCATCACCAACACCACCATCACCATCACCAGTCATCACCACCACCACCACCACCACCACCACCACCACCACCACCACCACCACCACCACCACCACCACCACCACCACCACCACCACCACCACCACCACCACCACCACCACCACCACCACCACCACCACCACCACCACCACCACCACCACCACCACCACCACCACCACCACCACCACCACCACCACCACCACCACCACCACCACCACCACCACCACCACCACCACCATCACCCACCAGCTTGGCGGAGTGCACTTCAATCTGGTACGCCTCTTGGGCGTTGCGAACAGGATCGTTGATCTGAGGGGGAGACAAACGAGGCGCACGGGGGAGAGCGTCGCAGGGGAGGGGAAAGGATTGTGGAGGGGGAGAGGGAGGGAAGGGGGGGATGGAGGGGGGGGGGGGGGAGAGATAGGGGGGAGGGAAAGGGGGAGAGGAGAGGTGGGGGGATCTGAAAGCGCGTATTGAGAGAAATGGCGGTTCAGAAGAGTCACAGAGGCGACTGGGTGGGTGGGTGGGTCAACATCAGGAACAGAAAATCAGCCCCGAGTTCCGCTACCATATATCCATCTCATAGGCTCCTAAAACCTCAAAAGTGTACCTTAACAAAAACCAGAATGTCCCCATAAAGTTCAACTAATCAGATGCTTGAGAAAAACATTTGGGAGAAGGAAGATGAGCCTGCCTTGGCCGCTTTGATCATGTTGGTGAAATTCTCCACCATGCTGATGATGTCAGCGTCCACGCGCTGCTGCAAGGCTCGCTGTCGCTGCACGGCCAGGCCGGCCGCTGCTGATCCCATGGCCGCTCGACCTAGCGCGGATCCCGCTCCGCCTCCTCCTGCCTTGCTCATCGTTCGCGTTATAATATGACCCAATACGAGTAGGGTTCTACGTTTTGTTTATTGATGGCTTTGGTTCTGGCAGCAGCTCTAGCAGTACGTGGTTTTTAGGTCACCAACTAAGATGATTTTTAATGGCGTGTAGATGAAGGCATTCGACGCACTCCTTGACTTCAGGCATCGGCGAGAAAAGCACTAGAGTCTGACTAGTCCAAGATGCGATTGGTACGTGTCAACCCCGCCTGGTCGAGGAGTGAATGGTTGATTTGCTCTGATGGCTTCGCCTGGGCAATTGTCGCAAGTTTCAGGTACCCCAGATAGGTTGCGATTCACTTGCTCCCGTCGAAGCTCCACGCCCCTAACCTTCCTGCGAATCCATTCGCAGACAACGGGACGACAGGCATGAGGAGCGGACGCATTTGCTCTAAGGTCTCATAAGAACGATGTAGCTAAACTGGTGGGGAGACTCCTCTCGAAGCGATTCCTGAAAAATGAGGTTGAAGCAATTCTGGAGAAAAAACCTTCTGTTTCAGGAGGTTAAAAGGGCAAATGGTGGAGCAGCAGTTAAGTACGTTTGCGTACGGTGTAAAGAAGTGCGATCTCTTCACTGCTGTAAACCGCTAGAATGTATTTTAGAAAATGATACGTGAGCTGCAATCGAAGTCGAAACGGCGTGCAACGGACTTGTAACCATGACTCGACCTCGTCAGTCAGCAAACTTGCTTCGCGAAGAGGAAAAATAACCTGTGCGAACTCGCCGATTTTAGACTATTACAGTAACCGATTCGAGTCCAGAAATGAGACTGGCAGACGTGGAACTCGGGTCCGATTCGGTGTACTCGGTCACAGTCGGTACCGCTTTCAACCCTGTCAACTTTCGAACTGTTCCGAGAGAACACCAAGCTTTCCACAACTCTGCTTGCTTGATCCATCACCTGACTCGGTGACGTATCATATAGCGAGCTACTTTTCGAATCTCCGTCACACTCGCTCCAATCCTTTCCCAGATTCTGGAAAGAAATTTCTGAGCTGTTTCCTACCCTGACCTGCTGCTGCTGACGGTACCGAATTGACCCAATGGCAGCCGCGCTGCCGTCTACTGCGCTGAGGATCGCGGTCGCGACGCCATTCGCGACATCGTTTCCGCCTTCGCAACGCTCGCGAAGCGCTCGGCGAAGAAGCCTTCCCACGTGTCAAGTCTGCCGGGTGTCGCAGCGCCAAGGATCCATCTCAAACCCCAAATCCCACCCATTCCAGGGTTTAAGATCGTTCTCCGGTAGAACAGCGGGGACACGCGGATCATCCGCTATTTCCGCCGGGAATGGGGGAAGCAGAAACCCTGCCAGCGGAAAAGATTCATCTAAGAAGGCCGCGGCGGACGTGTACACAGAGGACGAGGAGGCTTACAGCGAGGAAGAGGAGGCCTATAGCGAGGATGAGGAGATAGACGAGGAGCTGCTAGCCGCCATGCTGGCGGAAGAAGAGCTCCTGGCGGCGGAGCTGGAGAAGGGCGGAAGCGGAAGCGGAGAGACAGGGGGAAAGCGCGCATGGTCGGACGAGGAGTGGGACGAGGAGGAACTAGACGAGCTGTTTGATAAATATGGGAAGACTCTTAAAGAGGATACGAGCGGCAGCAGCGCTGGGTACAAGCTTGTAAGAGAAGAGGATGATACCGGGGATGAAGATGAGCAGAATGATGGTAGCGAGGGTGGTATTAACGGGGTTGTTGCCGTCAGCAGCGCAGTTGCTGCGTCACGAGCCGCGGAAGAAGCATCGTCCGCCACGCCGCGTTTCCCGCCGGATTCGGACGAGGCGAGCGAGGCGTTCGCGGTCGCTCTGGCTGTCGCCGCGAGTGACGCTAAGGGGGGTGATATTATCGCGCTGGACGTGCGGCCGCTCGTGTACTGGACGCAGTACTTCGTTATAGCGACGGCCTTCTCGCGCGCGCAGATGGACGCTATAGCGAAGCGCATGCGCGACGTGGCGGAGTCGCCGCGGTTCGCGCGCGAGCAGAAGGGCGGGGATAGGGGGAGCGGCGAGAGCGCCCGCGGGGGAAGCGCGTGGACGCTACTAGACTATGGCGACGTGGTAGTGCATCTGTTTACTCCTAAGGAGCGCGATTATTACCGCCTAGAGGAGTTCTATGCAAATGCGGAGGAGGTTCCGCTGCCATTCCCCCAGGAGGGGCGATACTGATGCGCGGGAGGGGGAGAGCGGAGGGAAAGGGGGAGGGAGTGCAGGGAAAAGGGGGGAGAGGTGATGACAGGGTTGGGGGGTTCAGGGTTTGGGGTTTGGGGTTTAGGGGGGACGGACGGGGAGGAGAGGGGAAAAAGCGGGGAGGGGCAAGGGTGGTGCGCTTAGTGGCTAATGGGGGAAAAGTGCCATGCCAATGCGAAGCAAGGGTGCAGGGATTCGGGGGAAGAGCGGAGGAGGAGAGGCAGGGAGCAGGGGAAGAGGGGGGGAGGGGAGGAGGGGAGGAGGGGAAGAGGGGATGAGTTGGTGAAAAGGGGAAAAGAGGAGGAAGGTGGCGCGCTGATAGTGGTGCTATGATGACAGGACAAGGGTGGAGATGTCAAGTGGAGGCTTACACCACAGGCTAGAGCTTTGGTTTCAGAGCTGCGCCTTGGGCGGAGGGTGGAAAGGGAGGAGGTGTTATTTGATTGGTATGGTTGGTGGATGGCGGTAGAGTGGTGCTGCTGGTGCATGGGAGAGAAGAAGGAACGGAGGAAGTGGTGGGAGGGAGGAGTCTGGGGCAGGGCTGATTTTATCAGGGTAATTACCCTGATTTCAGGGTGATTACAGGCTTCTCAACTGCTGGGCCCTGCAATTTCAGTTTTTTTAACTTGTGAACTCTGATCCAATCAGAAAAGTTACTAACGAACCCTGAAATCTTATAACTAGACTCAGAGTAGTGTACTTGCAGACTATGTCTATGCAGAGTATGTGTTCGGTGGACCCTGAATGCGAGGGTATCGGGATGAAGGTTCCTCGAAGTTTCCTTTCGATAACCCCCCCCCTGTGCGTAATCATTACTTCGCATGGCCCCATGTGAGGTACCCCGTTCACGCGCTGGACTGGCGTAATAACGACACCGAATTCCAACACCGTGCTGTGAAGACAGCTGTCAACAGTGACAACGCACCCAAATCTATGATACGTTGCTGCCACGCGCACCTCGCAGTGCACAGCATGCCTCTGCCATTCGCCAGAACGGCATGTTGACAGTATGCGCTGGCAGCTAAGCAGTCCTTGAATGAATTCGGCCTTGCATCTACGGCCGAATTCATTAACGAATGTTGCCATCAACCTTGTGGCATCGCGCCGCGGTGGTTTCGTGATGACCCCGCCATCTCCAACCTTCCTTTCCTTCCCCCTACCCAGAGCCAGGCTTCCTTCGCTTCCTGCTTTTCGTTCAGTATCACACTTTCCTCTCGCTCCATCTTTCCCCTAGCTCGCCGCCATGGAGGCCCTGCCGGCCGACGAAGATGCTCCTCAGACTGGCCCTGACGAGCCACCTTTACCGGCGAAACCGACAGCACAAGCCTTGCCGGAGAAAGCATCAGATGATCCCCGGTCTGGGCTCGATTTTATTAGAGCTACCGGTGCTCCGGTGACACCAGAACCTCCTAGGTCTACGGTTCATGACTCTGCGGCTAGAGTAACCCCTACTCCTTCTGATTCTCCACATCCTGTCGCCTTCACTCTACCCCCGGCTGTTGCTTCTTGCAGCAAAGATCCCCCACCGCCATCGCCTAGCCCCACTCCAAGCACGGTGCGTGTGTCTGTTGGCCCGCCGTCGGCTTCTTCCACTCCCAAGCGAGCGCGAAATGGGAAGTGGGCGCAGAGTACTCTGGTCGTCGGAGGCCGCCGTATTCCACCGCCTGACAATGACAAGCCGGCAGATCCTCCACCGAAAGAAGCTGAGCAACCGGAGGAATTTGACATCCCTGTGCGCGCGGATACCGGCTCGCCCGCACTCACCAAGATGCAGCTGCGAGAGCAGGTGTACCTTGAGGCGAGTATTAACTACGAGACGAAGTGGTCACAACACTTTTCCTGGCTGGTGTTTGGGAAGACCAAGGACGGTTTTCCATACGTGAAGTGCTCCATCTGCATGTCGTACGCGAAGGGGAACACGAGGTACGCCATGCAAGGTGACGACGGTGGCCGTGACTTGCAGACGCAGTCGTTCAGGGCGCACGAGCATACGGACGCACACAAGGCAGCGGTGGATCGGCAGTTGAAGCTTGCGGCGGGCATCCGCGAGGGCCAGCAGGCGATTTCTGACTTCATCAACTCCGACGTCGAGGGGCGGCGCGCGATTCGTCTCATGCGGTCTACGCAGTTCCTGTGCCAGTGCGACGCGCCGATTAGCATGTTTCCGAAGCTGATGCAGCATCTTGCGGAGCAGGACACGCCAGACATTCCTCGACAATCTTACGGCGTGTATCTGACACGGTATTTAATCTTACCGTTAGATTGCAGCTGGACATATGTGACGTGTGGTTTTTTTATTACGATCCTGACCATTTTATTCTCCTCTGTGCAGATACGGGTTCCAACAAATGGTTCACAGCATCAGTACATATCTCACTCGGGTCCAGATGGACCACATCCTGGCATCCCCCTTCCTGGGCATTCAGTGTGACGAGAGCACAGACCGAACGCGAGGGAAACACATGATTGTGTACCTTACGTTTTTTAAGAATCGCCAAATTGCATGCGAGTTCTTTACATTGCTGACGGTTGAGCGGTGTGATGTAGGGTCTCTGTTCGAGGTGCTTCTGAACCATCTCCGCTCCGCAGCCGTCGATGTGTCCAAGATCGTTGGCATCAGCACGGATGGGGCGTCGGTAATGACCGGGAAAGAAAACGGATTGGTGGCGCGTCTTCGGGAACACGTTCTGCACCTGTTTTCATGCCACTGCATCGCCCACCGGTGTGTATCAAGTTTCCTAGTTGGTGTGGTTTTCTACTTATAAGATTAACCAATTACCTCTTGATTTGTATTCTCTGCATCCTACAGTGAGGCGTTGGCTATGAAGGACACCGCTGAGTCAAACGAGGACCTTGGCATGGTCGACAAGGTGGTGCGCACAGTGGCGACGCTTCTCGGAAACTCAAGCGTGTGGAGTCAGCGCTTCAAGTACCTTCAGCGAGTGATCTACCAGACAAACCTCGAGGTCCAAAGAATCCACACGGTTCGATGGCTGTCACGAGGTGATGCGGTGCGCAGGCTGTGCAAGGTCCTCGGCGCTTGCATCGTGCTGCTCTGGGAGCACAACCACAAGGCCTACGAGATTGTGACGTGCTACAAGTTCCAGTTCTGTTTGTTTTTCCTGGCCGACATTCTGGCTGACATGAACGACCTCAACCGCTGCTTCCAGAGGCGTGAGGTGAGATTGAATGCTAGTATAATGTTGAGATGGGAAGTGTAATCCTACACTTTTGCTAATCCTACTCCCTGTTGTTGATTGCATGTGTGACAGCTGGATGTGACTGAGATTTTGAAGACTATTGAGTCCACCACGGGTGACCTGACGGAGCGCTACTTGACGACAAACAAACCGTTCGGGGGCGAGGGGAAGAGCTGGCTGGTAAACTTCCTTAAGGTCCACAAGGAGGGTGGAGGCAAGCAGGTACGGGTTCGAGGCGTGGACGGAGAGGGACGCCCAATCAACCACCTCTACACCATGCATGAGAGGAAGCTGAAGGGCCACAAGCAGGGAAGCACCTACGCAGACTGCGTGAAGCTGTGCCGCCAATTTGCCCGCGACTGCGTGGACAACCTGAACGAACGGCTGGATGACCTTGGGAAGCTGGGCCCGACGAAGCTGTTCCGGGCGGGGAAGTGGCCGAAGATCAAGGCCCAGCGAGAGAAGAAGTGCAAGGAGTGGCTGCACGGATGCAGCAGGCTCTTCCGCCACAAGCTGCCGGGATTCGACCTCAAAGCAGCAGAGAGGGAGCTCCCGACATTCTGCGCGATCATGGAGACACACCATGAGATGGAGAGCTTCGCCCAGGGCCTTAACAAATTTCTTGGGAGCGTAGACTCAAAGAGGTAGGCCACTGCATGCGTACGAGTTTTTTACCTATTTGATTTTTATGTTGGTGATTATTAACATGTTGAATTCCAACTTGTTGATTTATTAACTTGTTGATACTTTTACATGTTTTGTTGTGTTTCGAATGTGCCTGGCAGGAGATGGCCCAACCTCATCCTGCTGTGGCAGGCGCTGGCTGTGCTTCTCCTCTCCACCGTGGAGTGCGAGAGGGGGTTCTCCAGGCAGAACGTCATCAAGTCCTGGGTGTGTGGAGTGCTCTGCAACGCGCGTCTGGGGGAGCTGACGCAGATATCGCTCCTGAAGTACGAGATCGAATGGCCGGAGGCACTGGAGGTGTGGAGGTCCATGCGGAGGAGGCGCCCTGTGAAGAGCCTGAAGTTGGCCGTGGCAGAGAGGGAGAGGAAGGGGAAGCAGAAGGAGGGTGAAGCTGTGGCTGCTGGAACTGCGGGGGAGAACGAGGACGAGGGGGAGGAGGAGGAGGAGGACGATGAAGTGGAACAGGACTTGGGCGACGATCAGGAGGTCGTGGAAGAGGAGGACAACCCTTTCCTGTCAGACGATGAGGACGTAGAGGAGGTGTACTTCATTGACAAACCCGTGCACTAGATAGTGTAGGAAAGTTGAAGTTGTTGTATCAGTCATTTTGAAGTGTAGTGCAACGTTAATAGCAAGCAACCCTGATTTTGAGCTGTGAACCCTGACGGATCAGACTAGGACTTTGTTCGACACTGAGCTATCAGGGTAGCTTCCCTGTGAAAAATGTGCGATCATAATAGAGGGGGAAATTTTTTCCGGGAATCAGGGAGGCCTAAAACGAAACGTCAGCCCTGGTCTGGGGGGGATGTTTATGGCAAGGGACGGGGCTGGATGCTGTGTGGAGGTTTTTAGTGAGTGGAATCTGGAGCTCATGGTTGGGCGATGGCGATGGGATTTTGGGTACGGTATTGTTGAAATGGAATCATGGATATGGGGGTAGGTAGGGTATCACGAGTCTCTTGCTTGGCTTGGTAACTCAGTTTGGATGGGACAAGACTGGCTGGCCGGCTGTAAAGACAGGTTTGACAAACATAATTCGCACATAACAAAGTAGATTTTTCTGTACTAGTGAGATTAGCCTGCTCCTACGTTTCTTTGAATCCTAGTGCGCTACTCTGAGCTACGGTACTTCTGAAAGCAAACTAGCATTTATGCCATGTTTCAGACATGCGTTGGAGAAACGCAAACCCTGAAGCGAGGGATTTGGAAACGCGTACAGCTGGTCATCCCCGTACAAGCGTGCAAATTCTCCCGCAAAACGGTTTCATACTGCATTTTCCATAGCAGTTGATAATCAGCTTTCATACCACTCCACTTCTCCTCACTCGCAATTTGTTTTTCCGCTCTCGACGCTGTAGCTCGGGCGGCGAGGGTGGCGATCGCACGTGTTGGCTGAGGAACGGAAGCACGGTTTCAAGAGGCCTACCAGGGCCTAGACGTGGAATCCACGCCGAGAAAATAGGCTGGTGACTGACGAGTTATAGAAGCGAAGCAACGAATTGAGATCGCGCGAATCGAATGCACTGAAAGGAATCTCGAGGCTTACCGAGAAATTTCGCGGTAGAGGAGAATCCAGCTGCACGGCGCATACAGAAATTGTTTTTGAGACGTCTCAAAAATAGTATTCTTTCTCGTGATAAAGGAGAGCCCAGCTTTGAGAGTTCTCAAAAGCTGCACGCATCGACTGGAGCAGCCGCGATGAGCCCATGAGGCCATGTGGCCATAAAGCCACGAACCTCATGGCTTAGCCCAGAAGTTGGTCCGGGAAGTCGCGGATTGCCACCCACCCATGACTCCTTGAAGCAGCCAGCATTCGTGCTCCACGATAGCCGTACCACTGGCACGTCGTACCACGTCGTACCGCGTCGTACCGCGTCGTACCGCATCAACACGTCGCATCTACAGGCCGTATCATCAGCGCTCCTAGCAGCAACACCCGCCGGCGGCAGTGAGAGAGCAGCGGGACGGCACTAGCGGGCCGTCAGCTCTAACGGCCTTCAGCAGCAGCCGGCAGGCATGAGCGCAGCGGGAGGGCCGCTCGCTAAGGAGATGGCTGTGCGGAAACGAATCCACGCCATGTGAGTGATGATGGTGACAGGTAAGGCGGGGATGAGGGAGTGATGATGGTGACAGGTAAGGCGGGGATGTGGGAGTGATGATGGTGACAGGTAAGGCGGGGATGAGGGAGTGTGTTGAAGGCACGGGGTAGATGAAGGTATGAGCGCAGCGGTAGGGCTCTCCCGCTCCCGCCGTCAGTAGCAGTGTGAGTGTTGATGGGCAGTATATGAATGTGATGATGGCAGTGTGAGTGTATTACCCTCCTTGTTCCCCTTCCTCACCTCCCTTCTTCACCTCCCCTCCTCACGACACCTCTCCTCGCCACAACCCACTCCAGATACAACAAGCTGCAGGACGATTTTCCCTCTCTGCGCGATTACAATGACTACCTGGAGCACGTGGAGGATATAGGTGCGGGAGTGAGTGAGGGGCATGCGCTTGGTGCAGGCAGTTAGTGAGGGGGGAAGGGAGGTGGAGAGTGTTCAGTGAGGGGGTGAGCTGCAGATGATTCGTCCCATCCCCCCTCGCCTCAACAAGCTGCAGGACGATTTCCCGTCTCTGCATGAGTACAACGACTATCTAGAGCACGTGGAGGATATAGGTGAAGGAGAGAGGGAGTGAGTGAGGGGAGGGGCTAATGAGTGTATGGGGGGTGTGTTAGTCTCTCCGCGAGTACAATGACTATCTAGAGCATGTGAGGGATATAGGTGAGGGAGAGAGGGGGGAGAGGGGAGAGACGGGGGAGAGGGGGGAGAGAGGAGAGAGGGGAGAGAGGGGAGAGAGGAGAGAGAGGGGAGAGAGGATAATGAGTGAATGGCAGGTGTGCTGGTCTCTGCACGAGGTGAAGGAATATCTGGAGCATGTGGAGGGTATAGGTGAGTAGTGAGAGTGGGGGAGGGAGGATGAGTGGTATGGCAGGTGCGTTGGGTGACTGTGGCCTCCCGTCTCTGCACTAGTACAGCGACTATGTGTAGCAGTGAGGGCAGTATTAGTGGGGATTGAAGGCGGTATGACGAGGGAGTGAGGGGTTATTGGTGAGTGAAGGTGGCTGGTAGGCGACTAAGATGTGGATGAGAAAGTGACGGGCTGATGGCTTGGTCAACTGCTTTTTCCGCTCTGTGCGTGAGTGCTGTGACTATCTGGAGCACGTGGAGAATCTCTCTCGCTGCCCGTTCCCCCCACACCCTATCCTCCCATCTTCTCTTCTCAGTGTTTCGGCTGGTGGAAGGGATTGAAGTGGCGGCAACCGAGGCGGAGGTGATGACGTATGAGGCAACAATGCTTTTGCTCTCTCACGTTTTCTTCTTCCACCTCTCACTGAACCCCCTTTCCCCCCCCTTACCCGCTTCCTTGCCAGTGTTCCGGCTGGTGGAAGGAATTGATGTGGCGGCAGCAGAGGCGGAAGTGAGGGCGTATGAGGCGAACAACCGAGACAGCATTGCTGCTGCCAGGGCCAAGCGGGTGAGTGACAGTCTGACGGGATGTGGAGAGCGGTGCCGCGGTTTAGAGAGCGGTGAGCTGTGCAGTGGTATGGAAACAGGAGGTGAGGACGTATGAGGCGAACAACCGAGACAGCATCGCAGCTGCCAGAGCCAAGCGGGTGAGTGATTGGTGTGGAGAGTGGTGCTGCAGCGTGAAGAGCGGTGCAGCTGCGTGCAGTTGTTTTGGGACTTTCTAGAGCTTGAAAATTGGTACCTTCCCTTTCCTTCCCTTTCCCGGGAGAGGTGTTATTGGGAAATGAATATTCCTCTCTCCCTGCTCCACGAGGTGACTTTTGAGTCGAGGTGACTTTTGAGTCGAGGTGACTTTTGAGTCGACTCAAAAGTCACCGTGTTATTGGGAAATGCAGATTCCTCTCTCCCTGCTCCACCCCTCTCCCGTCTCCATCCACTCTCCACTCTTCCACTCCCCACCCCCTCTCTTTCCGGCTTCCCCCCTGCACCACTCCACACCAGGCAGAGCGCGGAGCGGCCGAGCTGAGAGCAGCACCACTGCCACTGCACTCTCACAATCATTACTCATTACCCGCACTCCCCCCTCTTTGCCCCCTTCCCCTGATACCCCCCCTGTTTACACCAGGCAGAGCGGCGAGCAGCCGAGTTGAGAGCAGCAGCACTGCCGCCCAAACCGGGGGAATCGTCAGTGTACCAACTGGTAGGGGTTTTGAAGAAAGAGTATGGGGGAGTATTGGGGAGTGTGGGGGAGTATGGGGGAGTGTGGGGGAGTATGGGGGGGTTGGGGGGGGTATGCGGAGTATGCAGCTGAGAGCAGCAGCACTGTCGCCCAAATCGGGGGAATTGTCTGTGTACCAACTGGTAGGGGTTTTGAAAGAGAGACGATGGGGGAGTATGGGGGAGTATGGGGGAGTATGGGGGAGTATGAGGGAGTATGGGGGAGTATGAGGGAGTATGAGGGAGTAGCGGGGGGGATGGGGGAGTATGGAGGTAAGAGCAGCAGCACTGCCACCCAAACCGGGAGAATTGTCAGTGTACCAGCTGGTAGGGGTGGGAATTGGGTGTGGGAATGGGGGGTTGGGACTCGTTGGTCTGTGCAACACACATGCTGCCTGCGCAACACACATGCTGCCTGTGCACCACACATGCTGCCTGCTGCCATGTCCCCTGCTCCTGCTCCTGCTGCTGCTGCTGCTGCTGAGGCGAAATCGGTTGTCATTTCGAGCTGGTCCCTCTCCTGCTGCTCTATCTGCAGACGAGTGGAGGGAGGGGAGGATTGGGAGGGAAGGGCTTTTGGAGGATAAGAGCAGGGTGTGTGAGAGAGAGGGGAGATTTAAGAGGGGGGAAGGCTCCTCCTGCTGCCATGTCCCCTGCTCCTGCTGCTGCTGCTGCTGAGGCGAAGTCTGTTGCCATTCCGAGCTGATCCCTCTCCTGCTGCTCTATCTGCAGAGGACGGGAGAGGTGGGTGGATGGAGGGGGTGAGAGGTGAGGTGTGGGAGCAGAGGTTGAAGCAACAGGGTGGGGAAGAGAGGCTGCGAAATGGAGCTCACGGAGATAGAGAGGGGAGTGAGTGCCGTGTGGTGCGCAGGCAGCATGTGTGGTGCGCAGGCAGCATGTGTGGTGCGCAGGCAGCATGTGTGGTGCGCAGGCAGCATGTGTGGTGCGCAGGCAGCATGTGTGTTGCGCAGGCAGCATGTGTGGTGCGCAGGCAGCATGTGTGTTGCGCAGGCAGCATGTGTGGTGCGCAGGCAGCATGTGTGGTGCGCAGGCAGCATGTGTGTTGCGCAGGCAGCATGTGTGGTGCGCAGGCAGCATGTGTGTTGCACAGGCAGCATGTGTGGTGCGCAGGCAGCATGTGTGGTGCGCAGGCAGCATGTGGAGCCTTCGCTCCCCTCTCTCACCTCATCCCTTCTTCCCCCCACCTTTTCCTCTCCCTTCAATGCAGATAGAGCAGCAGGAGAGGGATCAGCTCGAAATGACAACTGATTTCGCCACAGCAGCAGCAGCAGGAGCAGGGGACATGGCAGCAGGAGGGGCATTCCCCCCTCGACCAATGGGAATGCTCCAGCCCATGCCTGTGCACCATACCGATGGCAGCCTAGGCTCGGCACCGAGCCTGACTCCGGAGCAGCAACAGGCTCGGATCTTGAAGGGGCAGAAGGCTGGCGGATGGACGGTGGAGATTTCGCACAGGAGAGCCGTGGAGGAGGCGTGGGGCACTCTGTGGGTCATGTGATGAGGCTGCTGGCTGTGTGTGTGATGGGAGGATGCGAGGAGTGTGGTTGATGTGATGAGGCTGCTGGCTGTGTGTGTGATGGGAGGATGCGAGGAGTGTGGTTGATGTGATGGGAGGATGCGAGGAGTGTGGTTGATGTGATGGGAGGATGCGAGGAGTGTGGTTGATGTGATGGGAGGATGCGAGGAGTGTGGTTGATGTGATGGGAGGATGCGAGGAGTGTGGTTGATGTGATGGGAGGATGCGAGGAGTGTGGTTGATGTGATGGGAGGATGCGAGGAGTGTGGTTGATGTGATGGGAGGATGCGAGGAGTGTGGTTGATGTGATGGGAGGATGCGAGGAGTGTGGTTGATGTGATGGGAGGATGCGAGGAGTGTGGTTGATGTGATGCCTGCTCTCCCCAACATTCAAGTGCCTTCACTTCACTGGGAGATCTCTCACAGGAGAGCCGTGGAGGAGGCGTGGGGCACACTATGGGTTATGTGATCCTTTTTATGTGTGGGATGGGAGGATGGGTAGTAGTGCCTTCACTTGGATATTGTGAACAGGAGAGCCGTGGAGAATGGAGGGTGGACGATGGGAGGGTGGAGTGGAGAGTGGTTGATACAACCCTAACTCTGCGACAGAGTCTTCGTTGCTTTAGAGGAATCTCTGCAGTGAAGGACAGCTCATCTCTGGTGCTGCTGCAATGTGGAGTGGGGCAAAGCTGTTACGGTGCTAGGTACTTCCCTTTAGCCCATAGGGAATGTTCAAAAGCCACAACTCTGCTCTGAACTGAAGGGATGTCATATAATATCTCTACGTGGTGTTATTGTGGTGAGGCTGGGCAGGCCAGATCTGGTGGTTGGTTGGTAGTTACTAGTCACCTCACTGTCATAATCATTGTGCAGGAATAATTGGATTAACAAGAGTTGGGGTATAAGTACTAACCGTGGAAGTGATGTACCCCATAAGGAGTGCCCCACTATAGCCTACAAGTAAGATGGTACTTTGACACACCCCCATAGGCTAAGTGGGGGACAACAAGACGGTCACAAGATCAGTCAAGCAAGACAACAGAGCAAAGCAAAGCTCAGGGTGGATCTCAAGGACACCACACAATCTGAGCACAAGCAAGCGGCCACAAGGCCAGTTCACATGCAGAGTTATAATAGCAAGGCAGTACACTGATCACAACCTAGCAAGAGCAAACAAGTTCGTATAAAGATATATATCAGTGTACAACAAGAGCAAGTCAAGCAACCAGCAGGTGAGGCAGAGTGGGCACAAGCCCAAGAGCAGTGCAGAAACGCTGATGATCACCAGACCCAAGGGCCTTGGTGAACACATCAGCAGTGTTGGCCCGCGAGGCCACGTAGGAAAGGCGGAGCTGACGACGCTGCTGCAGCTCACGCGCAAGGAAGTAGCGAAGAGCAATGTGCTTCGTTCTGTGCTCCAGTCTCTGCTCGTGACACAAGGCAAGCATTGCCTTGTTGTCGACGTACAGAACTGGAGGAGAACGAGGCCGCTCCCCCAGGTCAGTCAGCAGGTAGGTCAGCCAGCGTAGCTCCTGTGCAGCCATGGCCCCAGCGTAGATCTCGGCCTCACAGCTGGAACTAAGCATAGAAGAAGAACGAGTGGACCTCCACGAGACAGAACCAGAGCCCAGACTGAAGGTGTAACCCTGTGACGAACGCTGAGTCTCCTGGTCGTCGGCCCAAGAAGCGTCGGAGTGTCCTGTGAGTACCACTGAACCATGTCCTCCAAGCACTAGCCCCATGGCCGATCTACTGCACAAGTAACGGAGTACCCTCTTCGCAGCATCTCAGTGCACCTTTCGGTGTCTATCGGGAGCCACGTAGCGAGCCAGGAGGCTGAGAGGGTACGCGAGATCAGGTCGTGTGCACGTCATCAGGTACATGAGGCAACCCACAAGCTCTGGGTACGGACCACTCGGCTCTACGGACTCGTCCGAAGGTGGAGCTGAGAGCGAGTGGCCGGTAGACAGAGGAGTGGGCTGTGGCGATGAGAACTGGAAGGCGAAGCGCTGAAGGACCTGGTGCACCATGTGTGACTGAGTCAGTGTGATGGTGCGCCGTGCTCTGTCTCGGGTGATCTGCAAGCCAAGATAGCTACGCAGCTCACCCAGGTCAGTGCAGGTGTGTCTCTCCTGCAGCTCCGCCTTCACTAGGGCCACCGCCTCAGTGTCAGCAGTAGCAAAAACCAAGTCATTGACGTACACTAGAACGTAGAACGGCGGCAGGGTAGTGTCGGTGCGTAGAAATAGCGACGGGTCAGCAGAGGAAGGAGAAAACCCAAGAGCCGCAAGTGTAGTCCTCAGTGTGTCGTGCCACTCTCGGGGCGCCTGGTGGAGACCGTAGACTGGCCGGCGGAGGCTCCACTGGGTACCTGCAGGAAACGACCCAGTGAAGCCGGGTGGGCGGCGCAGCCAGATCTCCTCGTGAAGGCTGCTCTGCAGGAAAGCTGTGGAGAAGTCGAGGGAGTGCAGCTCGTAGTCACGCTGTGCTGCAACGTGCAGCAGCACCCGAAGAGTAGTCATCTTCGGGGTGGGGGAGAAGTTCTGGAAGAAGTCGACCCCCTGTCGCTGACTGAAGCCTCGAGCAACGTAGCGCGCCTTGAAGGCAGGCGGAGAACCCGGCGGTCGCTTCACTCTGAAAATCCACATGCCATCGACTATGTTCGCCCCAGGAGGAGGAACCTCGTCGACGTAGGTGCCTGTGGACTTCCAGGAAGCCATATCTGCATCCATGGCTGTCTGCCACTGAGAGGAGTACTCACCCGCGATCGCCTCAGCGTAAGGGCGCGGGGTAGGGATGTCAAGTGCATCCGGGTCTCCCTCAGGGCAAAGCAGCATGGATGCGAAACGAGGTAAATCGGCCGCAAGACACTCAAGCTCAAACTGTTTGTCCTCAAGTACGTCACTGCCAAGGGCAAGCTCACCCCCGACGGACGGAGGACAGACAGACTCAGACTCAGTGCAAGACTCGCGACGTAGTCGAGACGACTCCTAGTTGCAAATTCGACTAGCTCAGTGACTAGGGCAAACGCTGCAGTAGACTCAAGGTCAGGGTCAGTGACGACAGTAGCGAGGAGACGAGTGACAGTAGGACTGGCAGCACGAGCAAGGTCAGACTCAGGGTCAGGAACGTGCGGAAGAGAGGACGCGGGAGGCTCAGGCAGGACAACACGCTGTGGAACAGAGGAAGGACGAAGTGCCATACCGTGAGTGCCTGGGACAGCAGGAGGACGTGGACGGGCGACATGACGAGCACGAATAGGTGTGGAAGCACGAGTCTCAGGCTCACGACGCTCAGTAAGGGACTCAGTCACCTCAGTGTGAGGAGCAAGCGCAGGCAGCGGGGAGCCAGGCAGTAGCTGTGGCTGAGACTGGTCTGTCGGTGGACACAGGAGGGGTAGAGGGAGGCCAGTGGAAGACGGGAGACTAAGAACCTGGCGAAGGACCGAGTCAGGCGGCGGCAGGGACGACTGCGGCTGCGGGTAGAAAAACAGTCAGCACAGGGCAGTACCAACAGCTCCAGCTCCTCCAGCACCAGCACCTCCATCACCAGCAGCTCCAGCAGCACCTCCAGCTCCTCCAGTACCTCCAGCTCTAGCGCCTCCAGCACCAGCAGTACCTCCAGCACCTCCAGCACGAACAGCACCACCAGCTCCGGCACCTCCAGCACCTCTAGTACGAGCACCTCCAGGACTAGCAGCTCCAACACCTCCAGTACCTCCAGCTCCAATGCCTCTAGAACTAGCAGCACCTCCAGCACCACCTGTACCTCCAGGACTAGTAGCTCCGGCACCTCCAGCACCAGCAGCACCTCTAGTACCTCCAGCAGGTGCAGTACCTCCAGGACTGGCAGCTCCAGCACCAGCAAGACCATACCCTCCACCACCAGGACTGCCCTGCCGAACGATCCACGCACGAATCGCCTGCGGCGAGAGCGTCTCAAGTAGGTCAAGCTGCGGTGGCTGTCCAGCTCCAGGACCTCCAGTAGGGTCACCCACAACTCCACCACCACTAGGACTTGCAGGACCCCCAGAGTCAGCACCCCCAGTTGACAGCACCCCCAGTCGCAGCACCCCCAGAACCCTCACCCTCTGCCTCAGCACCCTCAGGCTCAGCACCAGCAGTCTCAGCTCCAGAGTCCACAGCAGCAGGCTGCGGAGGCGGCGAAGACGGCCGAGGCGGAAAACCAGGGGGGGTCTCCAAACGTGGAGAGCATGAAGTGGCCGCCGTGTCGTCAGCGGCAGGGTCACCCCCCTCAGCTGGGCCAAAGGAGTTAGAAGAGACCTCCAAAGGCTCAACCAAGGGGGGTGGGTCTACCTGAGACACACCTGAGGGAGCAGGACCCTGTGGAGGGAGGGGGTCTACTGGGGGGGGGGCTGGTACCAAGAAAAGAGGCCCTAGGGGGACCGGGTGGGACGCGTGCGGGTGTAGCCTATAGTAGCAGACAGACTTGTCAAAGGTGACGTCCTGGGAGGAGAAGACTCGACGCGAGCGATGGTGGTAAAACTGCCACAGCGAGGCGTCGGTGGGGAAGCCAAGGAAGACGCAGCGGAGAGTGCGTGAGGGGAGCTTGTTCGCTTTGGCATCGCGAACAAGGGAGGGCGCGCCCCAGACCCGAAACACCGACGCATCGCCAACCTTCCCCATCCAGCGGAGTGTGGGCGAGGTCTCTGGCTCAGAGACATGGGGCCAGAGGTTGAGCTGATGCGCAGCGTATCGGACCGCAAACGGCCACAAAAAATGGGGAGCAGCCGCATGGATCATGGAGGTACGAGCAACCTCCATGATCAAGCCAATGCGACGCTCAGCAATCCCATTTTGCTGAGGAGAGGCCGGAAGCGTGAACGACTGGAGGATGCCCTCGTCTCGACAGAACTCCGCAAGGAGGTCAGAAGAAAACTCACCGCCACTGTCACAGTGCAGACGCAAGACTGGGAAGTCCCGACTGAACCGCTCGCGCAGCTGGCGACGAGTAGCACGGAT